ATTCGAATGCAACGTTTTTGCATTCGAATGTGGATTTTTATTTTAAATTCGACGAATATTCGAAATTCAACATTTTTTTGGACAGCCCTAGGAAGATCATATAATAATTTTCCCGTTTTGTGGCACCAGAGCAGTTCAGCACACAAGCATAAGGCTACATGAAGATCAAGTCAGTTGTTTACAGAAGACTGATGGGTCGGTAACTCATCTGGTAGCAGTTTTGATCAATTTCTCTCTGTGGTTTAGGTTTGGATAGATGAAACCGGTTCTGGACTGAGAGCAATCTAAATGATATTCAGCCCAAACCCACATAAATTATCTAAAAAAAACCACATGAGAATACACACAGGACTTGCTGGGAAAGCCCACACATCTTCAACAGGAAGACCAAAATTTGATCCATTTTATCTTTTATAAAACAGCAAAAAGAAACAAAAACCATCAGGTCAAAACAATAGAGTAACTTGATACACACTGTTTCCACATTCAAATCGCCTTTACAGTTTCTGCTTTTCCTCCCATGTCTCTTTATGTTCTCTTTTACTTCTCTCCACTTATCCAACTACCTTTCGGGGCTCAAAATTCAGGATTTTTCTGCTCTTTATACTTGCTCTATCAATATTTTTACTGGCCCAACTACAAAGAAAAAAAGATAAGTTTTATTTTTGGGCAACAAATATTTAAGTCTGCAAAAAATAAAAGCACAAGAACATGATTAAAAATGGTAAGAATGGTCCAACCCAAGCACTGGCCTTTCCTCTACTGCATTTATCTTCTTCTTCTGTAAACTCAGCTCTATTAAGAACTTTGCTTGTCCTGACATGAGCCAAGCACTACACTTTAGATCCCACGGCGGCATTTGCAATGACCCGCCCTGCACCAGAATAACCTGTACCTGTGCGTACCTGTCCTTCCCCATATCCCTGACAAACACAGAGACTGAGAGAACTTCCCCTCTGCTCCTGTCAGATCATGACATAGTCCAGGTCTAGCCTAGCTCAAAGAAAAATTGCATGTTTACGGGCCACGCTTTTGGAGAGCTTAACAAGAGAGCAAGAGGGCGAGAGAATTCCAGCTCACGTCACGGTAAAACTTGGCAGGCGAAAGCACATAGTTCAAGTTCAATGCACTGTGAGCGCTGAAAGCTGTGTGGCGTGGTCGCTGTATTGATGTTTTTTTTCTTGGGCTGAATACGGCCGTTGATAACAGATCCAACTCAAAACACTATGAACCGAAACACAGAAAAAGCACCTAAAATACCTGCTAACACAATTGTAGGGTGATGTCCAGGGGATTGCTTATGGCTTTGAGTGGTTTTTTGCATGTTGCTTATTTGCTCAAGTCAAAATGTCTATAGTGTATTTCTGTGTCTCCTCAACTAGAGGCCCTTGGCTGAAAAGCCTATGGCAATATATTTAATACTTCCCAAGTAAGAGGCATACTAACTTAATAAAAAAAACTCTAGTGGTGCTTTTTCCCATTTTTGAACTGTAACCATTGGCATATAATGCATCAAAGACTACTCGTCAAGTCAACAGATTTCACTGATAGACCTATACCAATCTCTGTGTAAAAATAAAATGATGTCATTTCGCTAAAGTCATTTTTGCCCCCCTGTAGTTTGGCTCCAAATCTCAGCTGAAAATTGTCATTTTGTCATTTGTTTTTCTTCAGAAAAAATATGAACAAAATCAGAAATTTATGCCGGGGAAGACCCTAGGGAAATTTGGTTGATTTGACCTTATAGCATAAACTGTGCAAGACAATTTGCACGCTAAATTTAACAAATTACTAGATGCTTGGGACAAAAATGCCCCCAAAATTGAAGATTAGGGTGCAAAAAAAAAAAAAAAAAGAATGAAAAGTGTTGATTTCAGCACTGCATTTGGATCTGCTCAGGTTGCATCAGTGTTTTTTAAGTGTTTTTGAGCATTAGAACCATCATATTCTGACTGACTGAAGTAATTGGTTAAATTGAAGTATTTGACCTGAAAGACAACACAGATATATTTAATAAGGTAATTATAAAAATGTAAATGTTAAAATGGTTGTAGCAATGTTACCCCTTCATGGAGCTAAGTTAATTTCTGGTTACAAGTTTGTTCAAATCACTAACCCCAAGTATGCGTAATAGGAAAAGTATTGCTTGAGTTTCAACGTGAAATCAGCCAATGGTAAAACAGCACATTGGATTCGTTAAGTGTTGCTGACAGACCGATTAAGTCAGACTGAGTGTCTGTGAAATTGTTTTTGTCATCTCACTGATTGATCTTTCACAATCCGTCTCCATCTCCTGAGGTCTGACGTTCACAAATTTAATCAAGTCCAATTCAACAGCCTGCGCGTCTCACAAAAAGCACAATTAACACTGTTTCCAGCTTGTGTGCTGATCTGAGCACTGAACCAGTGAGACCCAGTTTTATAAGGACGCACAATGAGGCATTCTGGGTTTGAATCAGGCCTTCACGTGGACGGTGTAATCCTGTTGCGTCTGCAAGGGTTAAGCCAGTCTGATTTTAGGGTGGTCCCGTTTGTGTGTGGTTTAAGTATGTGTGAGTCATGCGAGGACAGCGTAATCGCAAGCAGGAAGAGCGGAATGACACAATAACCTGTTTTTGTGAGGATTTACGAGGACAGATTGCTGCCGTGTGTGTGCTGAATCAATCTGAATAAAGCTGCTTCGTATTCCAGAACGGCTTTCTGAGAGCAAGATTTACTGAGAAAGAGAAATACGTTTAGATGCACTATAAATGAAAAAAAAGTGTCTGTTTTTGCCCTCTTTTTGAGATTACACAGAAAGGCAAGAAAGTGAGCAAAAAGAAAACTATTTAAACACAGTGGTAAATTTATGAGGAACTGGAACAATAAATGGATGAAATCCAACCGTTAGAGTCAAACTCTCACTGATGTAAGCAACACGTGATTCAATGCAAAGTTACAAACTGTACAAAACTCAAAAAACTAGGAATAGTCCTTGCATTAAGCCAAATAAAATATTATCAACAAAATTGAAAAATTCTAAACAGATACAGAGATGAGAAATGGCTTCTATATGCACACAGTGACCTGCAGTATTTAACACTAATATGCAAGGAAAAAACAACTAAATAATCCAAAGAAATTCATAAATCAAATGGCAAACAGGCTTTAAAAAAGGCTTGTAGAGAATATATTTATCTGATAAATTCTGCCAATTCAACACCATTGGCAGGTGCTAAAGTTAATTTTGGACCCTAAACATCACATTTCTACCACACGCTTGCGTTTAATACCAAAGTTAATATTTATGATTACCCATAAAGGTTGGTGGAGTTCAACAAATACACAGCTGGAAAAGAGTCACTCTCAAGTCTTGAAACAAAGGGGCCATTTTTCTCTCGCTCAAAGCCAAAATGCAAAGCATCAAATTAGAATGTCGAACACACAGCAGCGACCTGCAGCTTTAAACATGAACTACCTGAGTGCAGGCTGTGCACAGTCACAAACCTGCAAAACCATTCCATCATCAAGCCCGATTATTTCAGACTTCACTTCCTGTATTTACTCTATACATTTTCTTATATCTAAAACATCTCAGAAAATGCTTGTATGTTCCTTTCCCTGTATTTTCAGTAAGGGTTTTGGTTTAATCATTGAAGGACCAGCGGTAACAGGGTCACCATAAGGACTTGTACCTCTCCAGTGGTCTCCATAACAACACAACCTTCGCCCTGTTTCCTCATTTTCAGTGGTGATGCAAGATAATACAGGCAGAGCATGTGCAAGGACTGCTGCGGCACATGTCGAAATCGGTGTGTGGTCATGAGTTAATCTTTAACGCAATGCAGGGAATTCTCATTTCATTCTGTTTGTCGGGGCCAAATCAGATCATAAGCAATCAACCCAAAATCTGAGCAGTATGCATTCATAACCTGAGCTCCTATAGATACTGTATACATTCAGTATTATTTGCCACTACTCAGTTTGAGTCAAACATGAAGGCAAAGTTCACGGTGGCTCACAGCTTCTGCAGGTGCGTGTGCGTCAATGTGATTTTAGCATGAATGGGGGGGAAATAGGCCACAGTCTGTCTGTGCCTGGCCAGCTGCCTGTGGCAAAGGATCGTGTCTGTCCTCCTTCAATCTTTTTTCTCCTCTCCTCTGCCCTAAAAAGAGCTCTCAGCACATCCACTGCCTCAGCGATAATCATTTTAGATGAAGCACAACCATCATACCAAATCTAATTTCTAGAGATGCAGCAATACAGACCCAGCTTTAAAAAAATAACATTTTGCTAACATTCCCATTAAACAAACATTATGGGAATGTTACTTTTGAATGTTCTCTGAATCATAAGTATTAACATTTGTAAAAAGTCAGACGAACGTCCAACTAAAATGTTTCAGAAAAACAATGAGTGATGTATAAATTATGTTTTTTGTGCTAACGTTTTCAGAATGTTGTTAAATACCAGATAACTTTACAATAGAATAAACATTCTATTGACATCATCGGAAGAATGTTTGTTTATAACTTTGAGAGAACCTTTATCATTCAATAAATATCCAATTAACAATATGACGGCCCAAAACAATCAGTGAAGTTTCAATAATGCATTCAATTCACTGAATTATGCAAAAACAGGGTTATTAATGTGAAATCACATGCCTTACGTCTAATCAGGTATTAAAACATTATAATGCACAATATGCCAAAAAATATGCCTAACTGCTTAGTAATCCAGAAGTTGGCATACAAGAATTAGAATTATGAAAAATTAGAAAAATGAGGCATTATATTATCTGCCTAATCAAACTGATAATAATAAATGTCTATATTGTCAGTAAAACATCATGCATCCCATGTATTTCCATTCAACTACAATTCTGAAGCTCGCAGCATGACAATCACCAATTTGAACCAATTCAAGCTTTCGTTTTGAATGCACACCATCATTGTAATTTTGGCTCAGCTCTGAAATTCCCACGGCTGTCTGGAAGGATCTTTCCCCGGGATACTCACTGTGATGACAGCCTTGCTGAGGCAGAGGGAACCGCGGCAGCCGTACTCGCGCTCGTCCTGGGATTTGTAGTAACTCAAAGTGTTGTTCTTCAGCACGACCCAGCGGTCCTGCCATCCGTGAATGTAGTTAGTCCACTGCAGAGAAACAAAACTGTTATAAGAAAACAAAAAGCTGTATCTAAGAGTGTGCACACAGCCATACTGATGACTAATGACAATAAACATATGATGCATAGTTCAATAAAACAATTGATTGTGTTCTTGAATACATACTAGATAGATATACTTCACATGGGAGAGGGTTTAAGTCATTGCATGTGGAATAATACACTAATCTCTTATGGAATATGCTCCTCTCATCACAAAAACAGATGATCAGTTGTCTGAGTCATGAGGAGAGGTTTTCTCCTTTAATCCCATCAGGAAGAAAAGACTAGCAGATGAACTCTAGTAACCCCGACTAACTCCAGCTTCTGCCCAGAACCTGCTGCACCCCTTCTGAATTATATATGCATAAAGAAAGATATCCATGCATCACATATTAAGTATTTATCATAAAATATCAAAAAACAGTCTTGGGTAACATTACCTTGGGCCTTGCTGTCTAAAGAGCAGCATATGGTCACCATGCACGGGAAATCACCAAGAAAAATATACCGTAATGCGAGCAAACCAGTAATAAGGGTAAATCAGCTTTCCATTGATATATGGTTTGTTAGGATAGGATAACATTTGACTGAGATACAGCTATTTGAAAATCTGTAATCTGAGGGAGCAAAACAATCCAAATATTGAGAAAATCGCCTTTAAAGTTGTCCAAATGAAGTTCTTAGCAATGCATATTACTAATCAAAAATTACGTTTTGAGATATTTACGGTAGGAAATTTACAAAATATCTTCATGGAACATGATCTTTACTTAATGTCCTAATGATTTTTGGCATAAAATAAAAATCGATCATTTTGACCCATATAATGTATTTTTGGCTATTGCTACAAATATACCCGTGACTGGTTTTGTGGTTCAGGGTCACATATATTGTTTAAACTGTTAAGCATTTGTAGTATTTGTTGTACTGCGTTTGATTTGTGCTTAATTTAATTAAGAAAACCCATGCGTCCGGGCAGTAACGTTAATGAGGAGCAGATCAGAAGTAAAACATTGAGCATATTACGGTAATAGGTAACGTTAAAAATGGTTTCATTGTCATGCAAATAATGTCACCATGCAAAATATCTTAACTAAAATCGGTATAATTACTGTTTGCGATTAACTTACGATTTTGGTCATTTTCTTGACAAGCTGCGTGACATTCATCCAACCGCCTGACGTTTGTTTACATCGGATCAGGTGGAAACACACACACAAACACACGCTTTCCCGGTTCGGGAGGCATTATTCGGCATCGTAACCCACCTTACTGAGCACCCCGCCTAATTCCGCCACCCCTCCGTGCGGTCCGGGTCCCGGTTCGACGTCCAGATCCTCGTCGGAACCGGAGGAGTTCCAGCTCTGGCTGTCCGGTAGGAGTCTGCCGTTAGGAAGCGGGTTGGAATTCATAACGAATCCAACGAACGCTCCGCTGAGGCGGAAAAAAACGACAAAAACAGAAAAAACGCGGGCGTAATATCAGCGGCGAATGTCCGTTACAAGGCCTCGCATCGATTACGGTGTTGTCTATCCAGAAAATCCCGAAAATAAGCGAAAGATGTGGAAGCACACCGTCCTTGTGTTGATTTCACGAGCGTCTGTGAGGCTGCGCGAGGCGAGCGCGAGAGACACCCGCCCCCTCGCTCACTCTTTCCCTCTCTCTCTCTAAAAAAAAACCGCCCTCTAAATCGACATCAGCTGCCAAAAGAGATTCTCCTCACTTACAACAACAAATATTCGCGAATGTAGGAAAATGTGGAAAATAAAAAAATATATACATTAATTCCGCATTTCTAATTTTTGAAGGCGGTGTACGCCCTGGCTAGTGTATGACGTCACCGAAGCCTCGTTTTCCTTAAATGGAAACTTTCGCCCCGCCCTTCTGTAGAAATGATTGACAGTTTGAAAGAAACGCCCTCAAAATGCACTCAGCTTTTGGATTTGGCAGCATTTGGGTGAATATTGATAACACTCTAAAATAGCTCATGTAAAAATTAATTATGTATCACTATGTGGTTATATTGGTGTGAGTGCCGTTTGTTTTTAACAAATATTGATTGGTTAAGTGTTAAATAGCTCTGAGTAATCATCATGGTAACGGTTGGTATCAAAACAATCACGTGAATGCAGCCTATTTTCATCTAATTGCAGGTTTAGTCTATATTTTTTTACATTTCCACTCAGGAAAATGTGACTTATACTAGCAGAACCTAAAATCTATGATGTTGTGGTTTGTTTTCAGGCCTTTGCTATGGAGTTGCTAAGGTGTCCTGAGATTGTAGCGCGTTTGTATGCGGTTAAGTGTGTTGTTTGGTTGCTAGGATGTTAGGTGTGTTGTTTGGTTGCTAGGATGTTAGGTGTGTTGTTTGGTTGCTAGGATGTTAGGTGTGTTGTTTGGTTGCTAGGATGTTACGTGTGTTGTTTGGTTGCTAGGATGTTTACTCCAATCACCAACTCTAATGTGAGCAATAATGAAAGTGTGAAAGCGGTACTTGACTTATTAGTAAACACTACAAATGAAGACTAAGGTTTGCTAAATTAGTTTTGCGTTGACCTTTTCCTTTTTGCTTGGTGTTAAAATCATTTAGAAACCACATACTATGATTTTTGGCATCGTTTTAGACTGATCTGATTTCTATGAGGTTGAGTTTTAAAAGAAATGTGCCAATATGAATGCAGGTTTATTTGTCAGATTCACACAGATTGGTGAAAAAGCATTGCGTAAGTGGGAGAATCATTTAGTGCAGATTCATGTAGCTGCTAAACAGACAGAAAAGTGTGATCTGTTTCCTCTTCCTGTTGACCTCTGGTGGAGAGCGTGCACATGTGACTCATCACACATAACTGTGAGCTCCAAATTGGCGGCACAAACACAATTGTTCTTTAATTTTAAAAACTGAAACCTGCAGTTTTCAAAACATGATATGAATTATATGTGGGAAAATATTCACTTCAAGGTTGTGGTCATGATGACATAATTTAATAAGATGATGTATAAGAAATGTATCAAATGTAACACATTTGTTTTATTTTTGTCTGGTGTTTTAGGTAGTGTTTTTTTATATATATATTTAAAATCACTCAGATCAATTGACAATTGTCGATATTATATCATCATGATATAATATTAACATTATGATATTAAATCATTCAACTAATTTTAATATTTTTGAGCCATTGGCATTTTCATAGTTGTGGCAGCTGGTGTTGATTTAAAGAGTGCTTATACTCACACACTATTTTTGTAAAGTTGCATTTAGCCTAATAATGGATGCACAGATTCGAGTGTGCATCTTGCAAATGGCTGCTGAATGTCTTTATACAGTCATTGTGAGCAGTGCTCGGTATCTCTCATTCATAGCAGTTGTGCCATCAGCTGTGCATCACTCCCCTGTGACTGAAGCTCAGAAATTCAGGTCACTTTACTCCACTGAGCTCTGCTAACTGGAGAAAGAGGACTCTGTCTATGATATAATGCTATAGACCACAATACCACCTCATTAGTTTTGCCATTAAGGTTACGCATGCATATCAAAAGCAAAGCATTAGTGCCCAACCATAAATGTTCCTGACACTTTCCATTGGTTTCCACACATTTTGTCTGACAGGTCTGGGTATACTGCCTTCATCTGAATCACTGTGGCTGTGCTGAAGAAGAAAGGGAGCTGGATGGATGTTATAGATGGATGACGGTGAATCAGTGGATGCGTCACTATGGAGGTTTGGTGATTTGAACGTAAGCTGCAAAAGATGTGGGCAGGTGAATGCATGGATGGATAGGCATTTTTAGCAGTCTAATTATGTTATAGCTGATGTGTGAGAGAGATATAATATTATATATATAACATTATAATCCATTCTGTTCTTTCATACATATGAAATATAAATATCTGAAAAAATATAGGAAAAAAACAGTAGAAATTTTAGTTTGAAAAAACAAATATGCATTTTAAAAATAATATTTTATAGTTTTAAATATAAATATGAATAAATATAAATTTATCAAAATATTAGTGCTGTCATACGATTAATCGCGATTAGTCACATCCAAAATAAAAGTTTTTGTTTACATAATATATGTATGTGTACTGTGTATATTTATTATGTTTATATAAATACACACACACATACAGTATATATTTAGAAAATATTTACATGTATGTACATTTATATATTTATATTCTTATATTTTATATTATATATAAATATATTTAATATATAAACATAACATATTTTC